GTTAATTCCAGGTCAGCTCTCCACACTTACGAATTATTGATGAAGCTGACATGAAGAAAGCTGCCCACCCCTCATCAGAAGGCTTTAATCACACCACCAGATGGAGATGGCGGCTCTAAGGTCACCAGCCAAATAATTATTGAATGCCTAAGCTGGCCTTTGTAGTGTTGACCCTGGCGCCAAATCAGCACCCAAGGTCATCAAATGGGACGAATCGCAGGGGTCCCAACTTAAAGCATGTGAGGCCAACCAACTCCCCGGCAGCCTAAATCCTCACACAGACGCATTCATGGCTGTGTTCCCTGATCCCTACCACCAGTCCACTGATCCACCTGCTAACAGAGGTGTGACAGATCCCTGCCCAAAACAACGATGATGAAAATCAAACAGCCCTAGCCACACAAACACACATGGGCTGGGGATGTAGCCACACCTGCGAGTGTAATACGTGACGGCCCTTTTAAAGAGGATGAGGAAGGACAAGTGAGGATTGATCCGGTTTTTTTTATTAGCATGGTGTCACCTTCACTCACTCGGTATGATCACAATAGAGCTGAGCAATTTATGTAAAAAATAAATCTCAATATTTTGTAGCCTTTTGATGATATCCAATATATACACCCCTATATTTATTTGATAGATACATGCAAACTTGTTTTTTATCAGTCAAGAAACCACCATTTCAGCTAAACAGTCACTGGTGCCTAGAAATAGTAAAAAAAATTATTAAAATAAATATAGGGCATGTTTTACAGCAATGTATTGTTGCTAAAACATTAATAATGCCACACAGAGATTTCTATGTGATTTTTGAGTGATAATGCAATACGAATCAGCCTTCTGATTCATTAAAATTAAGAGGTTAAACTAAATTCACCAAACTGAAATCATCTTACCTATTCTAACATTGTTTTTACTTCTGAATTTCAAATCAGATACTGTATAAAAACAACGTCTTATCATATTCTTGGTGGTTGCTTGCTGAAATTAGGTTTTATGGTTCATGTCTCTCCTTAATTGTAGGTTTTGAGGATTTTTAGGAATGTATGGGATTTTTTTTCATCCGTTTACCAGGTGAAAATCACAAGTCTGATCACTTAGAAAATGAACAGCTCAAATCTCCTCAACAAGATGCATGCTTTCAGGTATCAGTAATGTCTGTAGCAAGAGTGATGTGGTTATAATGATGTCGAAGTCTTTGTGATTTTGAAATCAAAATCAAAGGAAGTCAGTAGTACTCTGAGAATAATGAGCAGTAACTAAAGATCATGTCTTGCACATCTATCCTTCTCTGAATGTGATTTATACACCTCAGCTAGTCATTTATCTGATGCTCACAGGCTGGACAAACATTTGCTCATCTGTCTAACCTTGAACAACCTTGACTGTGAGTGTTTTATGAGTTTTGAGATGGAAAATCATTAGAATAAAGCATCCACTTTTTTTACTGGTAAAGTCATATCGTTTTAGGAGCAGGCATTTTGTTTGGTTACTGCAGTAATATTAACATTTCACTTTTTGTGCCTTTGTAATATTTTGTTTTTGGTATTTATGTTTTATCCTGTAGATATGAAAGACATATTTTAGGAATTTGTTCACTCAAAAATAAATTCAGTGTTCAGTGGAACACAAGAGGTGTTTATTAGAATCTTCACACTGCTCTTTTTTCAATGCAATGCAAACACAGTGACCAGCATTATAGTCGTTATGACTTATTTATATTCTATATTCTGAAGTTATATAAATGTGAAATATAAATTTCCCTCTTGTAATAATAGTTCTACAACAGTCACAATGTTGATAAAGCTTGAGTATGATTTTTTTTTCTCAGTTACGTATAATATCATTTCAGAGACTAAATAATTACTGTAGGAAATAAGTAAAATAATCTTTAATGGTTACTATTTGGTAATGTGATCAGACTTGGTGCTTAGCATTTTGACTTGCTTGAGGTGAGCAACTGGCATGACTTGACTTGTCTAGCTTGATATTGACTTGCATTTCTTTCTTACTCCCACCTCAGCTTTTATAATATTGTTTATCTTTTTTTTTTGTTCTTCTGGAGTTTAATGACCCCTGGTCTCAGTATGCTTTCATTGTATGAAAAAGTACACCTCATACTGATTTGAAAGCAACATGAGGGTAAGTGAATGATGACAATTTTTTTTGGGGGGGGGGGGGGGGGGGGGGGGGATATTTAAATTAATCTGCTACAATATACTATAATTAAAATTAGTAATATTTAACATTTTATTAAAAAAAACTAGAGTAACAAATAAAAATAAAGCAATTTTTAAATAAATATATAATTCTGCTTGAATTCTGACTACTTTTGAGGGAGAACTGTCTCTTTCCCCAACACCAGGAACCACTAAACCCAAGGCAGTTTGGATACATGAGAACTCCCGTTGCTTTTAAAACCATGTTTACAAAAAAGTCTTCCTCTCCAAGCAACACAATCTAATGTAGCAATCCCCAAAAATCTCTAAACACACATACTGCAAACATGTGGAGAAATGCCTGCCAGCCTTGTACTTATTACACTATCAAACCTAATTGTTCTGTTTTGAAATAAAAAAAATTACATCTCATATTATCCCTTTAGGTATGTGTGCTGCTGTTTATTTTCCTTCTGTTTTAATGTGTATGATTGGAAGGGTGAGTGTTGTGATTGCTCAGCTCCAGAATTAGATTGTTAATGAAGTTTGGCTTAGCGCTGCATGCTTTGTGCTCTCAAATACAGTAACGTTCAAATACAGCGTTCACACTTCAAAGGCCATGGACTCACACCTGCAATATTGTGAGAAGCGATTGCAGCACCTGATAGAAGCTCATAGCGCCTGTAGCTCTAAGATGCCTTTGGCGAGGTACAGACATTTGCTAGGAAACACACCCACAGAGGTCCAAATGCTTCACTTTTCAGCTGTCTTATGTTTGTGTTTTTCCATACTTGTGTATATCAGTGCAGATCCATTAAGCACCCTCTGTTCATTGGATCCTCTGTTCTTAGATCAGTGTTGGCACGTTACAGGATTAGTATTAGTTTTGTTTTGTTTTTTAATGAAAATTGTGTCATCATTTTCTCATGTTGTCTTTCATAGAACACTAAAAGAGATGTTTAGCAGAATATTCATGCTGTGCTCTTCCATACAATGAAAACTTATAGTTACCAGGTATTGCACCAAAAGAAAGTACCATAAAATTTGTCCAATTAATTTGTGAACTATATTCCAAGTCTTATACTCTTATAGCTTTGGGTGAGTCCTGTTATGGACTGGCCATCCGTCCAGGATGTTTCCCTGCCTGACACAGGACAAGCAGTTTGGAGGATGGATGGATGGATGATGGATGGATGCTTTGTGTTAGGAACAGATCAAAATTTGGGAATGGATGTCAGATCTCGGCAGTATCTGTCCTCATGCATATTAATTCTATAGAAAAGAGCCGGATTCAGCTGAAAGAATGTTCAGATAGACATTTCCTTTTGTGTTCAACAGAAATTATGTCATGATAATGTTTAGGCAATGTGAGGGCAAAGTTGAGTTTTCAGTGTTGGTGTAACTGTTGTTTTAAGCATGAGGAAATTCGTAAAGGCACATCTTTGCCATTCAAAAAGTCAATCACACAAAGTTCCCCATGCATTACCCATTGGCAGAATTAAGGAAATGTAAGGTCTCTATGGCAACACAAGCAGCAAAAAACAATAAATATCCTTTTTATAGATGCTAGAGTTGCTTTGTTTCTCTCGTCAGTCTGAAAGGCTCGAGGGGGTATACAGTGACTGACAGGATGAGAGAGAGAGGGCCCAGGATGGATCTGCTTGTGTGTTTGCTGGTCTGTATGTATGTGTGTGTGTGTTTTAGTATTAGCTCATGTGTTGATGCCTCAGGCCCGCTTCATCAGTAGCATCAACCTCAACATCGACTTCACCTGCAAGTGCATGTGATCACTTTACATATTTTACTGAAGGCTTTTCACACTAGAGCTTTAACATAAAAAAGTTGAGTTCAGATTGTTGTGTTGGTGTGGAAGCTGTGTTGTCAACCTTATGTTGACTTTCACAAGATTTAAAAAATTCTTATGTATTCCGGGAAAATCTATTTATTGCAAGCCACATATAACCACAAATATATGTGTTTCAACAGTGAATGTGTTTTTAGAGGGTTCTTAACATGAAATTTTATTGTCTGCTGTAAGGAGCTCTAATATAGGGCAATCACGTGACATTTTCGGTTCAATTGATTGGTTCAAAATAAATGTAGGTCACACTTTTTTGGGGCTTTGTGCACCAGCCAAGCAACTGCCATTGAGAGAAATGAGAATGCTAATGGATAGCCCTACATCTAGGTATGTATTGAAAATAAATTCTGTGCTATCTATTAACAAAAGAAAAACATAAGCTGGGGGGCTCATCTTACCTTATATTAGGCCTCCTTGGCTGAGACAAACTGTTCGATTCTTATCTTTACAGGTTAATGATGGGCAGGAAGCATTACAGTGGTGGATTGCTACTCATATCGTCAACAAAGCAACCAGCAGTAAACTCCTTTTTTTCTGTCAATATTTTACTAATATCAGTTAGTTTGTAAGCAAGCAACAAAAAGACATCTGTCTGTTCACAAAAAAAAAAGAAACCTCGTATACTCATTTATCTCTTTGTTTTTTGCTGCTTTTTATGTTCTTGCTCTTAAAAGCTTGGTGGGGATTTTTTTCATGTCATATTCTTGTTTTGCAGATAAGGGTGTGATATTGTTCACTCTCTTCCTGTTAAGTGGTGATAAGTTGGCTTCTGATGAAAGGCCCATGTGCTGTTGTGGTGTCAGGCCTGGCCTTGAGCCCAGAGCTCCAGCCACACGCTGCCAACATGCCTGCCAGTCGCAGAGGTCACGGCAAAGCAACTCTCCGCACTTCCTGCCAGCTGATCCGGTGTCATGTGTCTGCACTCTCTGTTTCTAACACCCTCCTCTCCTGTGTTCTCTTTCATTACAGACCAACAGCAGGTTGAAGCTTCTTACATATACATATACATTACATATAATCAGAAGCTGGCCAAGTCTGCACAGGTAAACACGAGTGTTTGAATGTTCAGACAGACAGACAGACAGACAGACAGACAGACAGATAGATAGATAGATAGGGTGAGCATGATTTGACCAAATACAACATGTTCCTGGATCAACATCCTTGGAACATCATTCCAATCAACCAATCAGAATTGAGAGATAACCTTTCAGGAAATGTCAGTTTTAGGCTTACAATCAGGATAAGGTGCTTCTACACCCTTGTTAATCAGCTATCATTTCCCTCTGATCTTAGAAATAAATTATGGGTAGGGTAAGGTTTAGGGGTAGGGATCGGGGTAAGTCTGTATTTTTGGACAGTAATGTTGATCCATGATCAACAAAAGATGTTGATCCAGGAACATGTCTTACTTGGCAAAATCACTGTGATAGATAGATAGATAGATAGATAGATAGATAGATAGATAGATAGATAGATAGATAGATAGATAGATAGATAGATAGATAGATAGATAGATAGATAGATAGGCACATGTGTATTCTGTATTTCTGGAGCAATTCATGCATAATGCACATGCAAATATATGTGCATTAATTCATGCGCATTCCCTCAAACTTGAAAGTGATGCAGGGTGTGTTGTGGGGATCTTGTTTTTCTTTACCTCTCTTCGCCTGTCTCTTTCACACACTGTATGTATTTCTACTGTATGTAGAGTTGAGTGTATTTTCTAATGCTGTTTGGGAGTAGTAGTTTAGCGCCAAGTAGACTTCATGCAGTGTTGGGGGTAATATATTACAAGTAACGCAAGTTACGTAATCAGATTACTTTTTTCAAGTAACTAAAGTAACGCATTACTTCTTAATTTACTAGAGAATATCTGAGTTAATTTTCCAAATAAGTAACGCAAGTTACTTTTTTTTTCAATTTATTGATTGACAGCTCTCCTGTCCCCATGTTGAGAGAAATCAGAAGATGTTACTGTAGTTCAAAATAAATATGAATATGCATTAATTCATCTCACGCACACACAAAAAAACACATTCAGTATTTCTCAAAATGAATAAAAATAATGCAACTCAGAATATGACGCAAACCTGCAATAATTAAATATTAAACAACACAAATTTTCATTTATGTATTTAATCCCATTCTATTAACCAATGTCTCTGCTTCTGACCTTCGATGATCCAGTTCAACCGTACTAATAAGCAAAAATTACTCTAGACAAACATTTGTGTGTGTTTTTTATTGCTGAAGTGTGTTGAAATTTCTTCTTCTGCATTCTACTGTACGGACGTAAATTTACTTTCCCTTCAGCCTGAGGCTTATTCATTTCACTTTTGGTGTGAAAAGGCTTTTATATCTGCCAAAAATAGAACTTTTTTATTTTAAAAACAAACAAGCAAGCCCTGTCCAGATTTAAAAAGTAACGCAAAAGTTACATAACGCATTACTTTCCATAAAAAGTAACTAAGTAACGTAATTAGTTACTTTTTTATGGAGTAACGCAATATTGTAATGCATTACTTTTAAAAGTAACTTTCCCCAACACTGACTTCACGTATTCTCATCTCGAAATTACAGTAATTACGACATGGCGTGAATGCAGCATGAGATGCATGCTTAGGACTGCACATGTGCATTGGCTGGTCTAGCCTGAAAAATAAGCTTTTTTAATGCAATTTGAGGAAAAGAAACGACATTTATGAGACCGTCGTTGTCAGATTTTATTTGTGATTTCAGATATGAAATGTAATCGTAAGCTTGGTGAACCATTTTGGAGAATTTGATGTTTCCCCATTCAAAGAGATAGGAGCTGCACTTGCGTGCCCGAGAGGCGTTTCAAAGATGGCCGCCGGGTGACTTGACTCATAGATGTTACCTGTTTCATTAGCTTTTACTTTTCTCTTCCTGCTGATTTGTGCAACTAAGCCACCTTGTTAAATTGCTATTTCATGACGTTACATAGAAAATGGAAATCTACATCTGTGTATCTACATTCTGTGTAGCGGTAGTCATATTTTAGGACACACTCAGGAGCACACAATGACAACAAACACAAATCACCACAGAAAAAAGCAGACCTTTTTATATTAATACTTTTTTAAGAACTGATTACATTTGCTTAAAATAAAGCAGACTAATATTTAAGTCTCTAAAGTACATTCAAGCTTACAGTCATGTGTCTGAGAAACTGCAAATATTCATTACACAGTATCGTTTAGTCTCATTTATTTAAAGTGGCACTGATATAACTGCTAAAATAATAAATACAACATAGTTAGATTAGATATATCATCATATCACCCAGCCCTAAAACTTCTCAATATTAAAGCATTAAGCCATTGTTGACCTAACAGTATAACTTTCTGTAAAGCTGCTTTGAAACAATGTGTACTGTGACAAGTGCTGTACAAATAATTAAGTTTACTTAAATAAACCGTGCAAGATTCTTTACGAAGAGATATAAGAAGCAGAGGAGCACTACTTCGACAGAATAAAGGAAAGTAATGAGCTTGATCCGTACAAACTTGAGTAGTCGGTTATCTCAACGAGCTGCTGCAAATAACATTTCCAGATGTGTTTTCCTATCGTATTCATGGTTCTTACGCATTCAAGCAGTTCAATGCAAATCAGTGCATCTAAAGGGAAATTATAAAGGCACATTATGGTTAAGTTGTTTACCTCACTTTCACCATTGTGTTGCTTCTATTCTAGAAAGCTGAAAATTGGCTATGGCGGTTGATAATACAGCAAGTGTTCACCATTCCAGAGTGTTCTTAAGTTGGATAATGTAAGCATAATACAATATAAAATGTCTACATTCACTACTACTCAGTCTTTACTGTAGCTCCTGTGTCCTAAAATCCCACAATGCATTGCGTTGTTGATGTCAAGTTCCCATTCTCTATACGATGATTTTCATGTAAAGGTCAAAGCGTGGCATGACTCTTGTGTTGAGAGTGTGTTAAAGGCCTGATGCAAGTCATTTGAAACCAGATCATTTTTGTACCAGATAAATAATGCTGATTGGGTAAATGTATTATACATTATTACATTAATGTATTTGGTAAATGCTTTTATCCAAAGTGACTTACATTGCATTCACTGTCCATACATTTCATTAGTTCATGCACTCCATGGGAATCAAACCATGACCTTGGTGTTGTCAGTGACATGTTCAACTGTTTGAACTCCAAGGACATTACATAACTTACTGTAAATAGCTTCAATAGTTAACTGTGTCATTCCTACTATGCAGTACATTTTCATGTCTTCATATATTATAGAAAATATTAATCTCAACATTTTTTAAGAATTGTTCATGTCTCAATCATGAAATAAAGCGATGCATTTTATTATTTTCTTTTTACTTTGATTTGAGAGGATGTTGCCGTCTTTGTCATGTCCTCTGGTACTGCTGTAATTTCTGTAATGAAACATCTATTCATTTATTAATTTAAAATTTTTATGTTATTCTATCATTTATCAAACAGGATGTTTTACAGACAGATCAACTGACACCATTAAAATCAAAGAATTCATCAGCAGGTCATCACAGATCAGGTGGTCATAGTTGTTTGTGCTTTTCTTTCCCAAAATAAAATGTGTGAATTGAGTGAATGATTCAATTACTCGTTCATAAAAACAGTAACTTGTTGCCACCTGCTGGCGTAACGGTGTAACCTGCAGAAAGAGGAAAATTCCCCTACTAATGCACAGACTGACAGTCTGTCTGGAGCAAACACAGATGAGAGGAGGGATACAAACAGTGAAACAGACTGTATATAGACACTCTTGGACGCCGCATGATCAGATTTCATATAATGTGTCGAAATAATGATCCAGATATAATGAGGACATTCAATGTGCTGCATAACAGGAATGACCCAACTCGATCACTCACAGTGACTAACTTTTTATTTTTTTAATTAAAATCTGATTTATTTCTATTTAGATTTATGTATTTTTTTAATAACTTGCGGTGTACTGCAGCTAATTACTTTATCACGCCTGCTTGCCTTGTCTGTAGTGAACTACTTTCAGTTAGGAGAAGCGTGGCAAACCGCAGTGTTAGAGTGGCTTCCTCAACACTTTTTTCCCCTCTGCCTTCGAAACAAAACTTGCCCTCTGAGATGTTGGACACGTGTGTTTCATTTTGTAGCCCCTGATAATGCTTGTTGCCCACTCTCCGTTCTCGGCCGTGATTTCACACTCAGGTCTAGTGGATGTCTGAGCTCTTATCTCTCTTCTATATCCCATCATGTGTGTTACTGAGGCCGGCCTCTGCCATGTGTTAAATATTAGATTTAATCTGCTCAGACTCCACACCATTACACTCGCTCGGGTTCAGAAGAATAACCTTCATTCTTCTCTGTGTGTAAGATTAACACAGAGCTGAACTCCTCAAACACTGTAGATGTTGTGAAAATGCACTGTTCAGTGTGAGGTTGTGGGCCTGTAATAATTGCCTCTCATTACCTTAGTCCCAGCTCAAACGCTCGCTCTTTTGATTCCAGTTCTCTCCACAACACAGAGCGCTGAACGTCAGGTTTACAAGCAGATGTGTGAAAACACAGGCCTATTAAATTACACAATGCTTGACATCAAAAGAACACACTTTGAGTGTGAGAGAAATAGAGTTCACAGGCGTTTTTCCCATTTCTAAATAACCTCTGAGAGGGCCACTGATGATTAATTCCTTTTCCGAGGCACAAAATTGGCATTCGCTGGATAAACATAGCTTTTCCTCTCTCTTGTTTCCCACTCGCATTTGGTGGGAACATGTCTTTGTTTAATACACATTAAATGTGCCTCCTCCACACCAAAGAACACAGGCCTCCGTTTGTTTACTCCTCTTGTAAGCTCTCTTGTTAGGAACAGTCCACCCAAAAGGACAAAAACTGAAACTTAAAAGTAGCATTATTTATTTAGTTTTGATTTTATTTTCAATTTGTATTTTCAATTTCATTTCGTTTTAGTTGTCATTTTTGGTGTTTATTTTATTTTAGTTTTTAGTTGTTATTTTTTCTAGTTTATA